CTCTTTTGCTTCATTCCTCTTTTGCTTCGTTACTCGAATTGTCGAAACCTCCAATTTCCTGTTGCCCGGTTTTTCCTCGTTCTTACTTGTTTCCCCTTATATCATCAACCTATTACTACTTTCGATTTTCCTCAATCATCGTTCGCTTGACAAAGGATGGTCATGCTGCTTGACTGGCTTACGATGAAGCTACCATGCTAGTATGGTATAAGAATGCCTCTGATCTCCGCAAGCAGACAAGCTTACTTCTCTTTCTCTTGCATAACTCATGTTTCCATTCTCCGCTAGACTTCCCAGACAGTATACCTGAAGCTCCATATTGGGCAACGTGTGATTGCTAAAGCAAGGTACTGACGCCTTAGCGCGTATCTTCTGGCATGATGTTACACATACAATCCTTCGTATCTCGATGTCTTTGCACAATCCCATCGCTTAGAAGACGCTATGTCTTTGGGTCGAGTTGATAGGAAAGGCGGCGTTGGTTAGTTCTACTTATTTTTTTCGTAAGAGATAGCCTGCGGCCCTTTTGCCCCTTTGCCCCCCCCCCACCCCTCCTTTCTTTTTGGTTGCAGTGTCAAGTTTGAAATGAAACCTTTCGCAATGGCACAGTACGTATATAACACAGGGAGTCAATTAGCATTGCTAAGCTGACTTTGGAAGAAAGTAGTAGTTCAAGTTCAGTTAGAGATGTGCCGGTTATATAATCAGCGGGTCGGAGGATCCCATGCCCCGGAATTGATCAGCATCATCGGCACTGTTTTGCTCCAGAACATACGCGCTTCCACCCCGACGACAAACCCCACCAAGAAGCCGATAACCCCGGTCTCTCTTGCTGCGTCAGCTGCAGACACTTTTTTTTTCGCTTCGCTTGGTTGAATTCCGTGTGCGGAGCAGCCCTTGAGGACCTAGCACTTTCCCCGATGGCCGACTACGAACGTCGACCTCATGGCCCAAGGGGTGGTCGCAAGAGACGCTATAGAGGTTAGTAGCACCCTTCGCTCACTAGCATGAGCTTCATGGCTGCTTTATTTCAGTTTGTCCTGTTCTGTCATCTGTTCCCTATGCTTTACCCTGGGCAGTTGCTATTCTTCCTTACTGATGTGTCTGGAACGTATAGATGATGATGACTACGACCGCCGCCAGCGGCGCAGACACGAGGAGCCTTTATTTGTCAAAGTTCGGAGGCAGTTGCTCACAATTGCCGAATCTGTACGTTTTCCTGCAATGACATGACTCGCGTCCGTGTAGTAGCCCCAGTCCTCGAGCTTACCTTTTACACTTCTCTCCAGGCCGCCCGAAGAGCAGAGGACGACGCTATCCATATTGCGAAGACTGTGGCTGAGAACTACGGTGATGATGAGATTAGAGGGGTGTACCTTGAAACCGCAATCGACCTGTATGCAACTACCTATGTGAATGAGTATAGCCTGGCCCGGAGCTAACACTCACTAAACAGTGTCCTTGAGCAGCCATTGAAGATCCCCTTCATTGCGGCAACAGTTCTTGCCGCAAATGTCTTGAATCCAGAGCCCGTCTCAGAACTCCTGACGAGGGCGGGTGAAGCTCTGCAAGGATACGTTAATGCTGGTGCGTGGCGTGAAGTCAAGCTCCTCCTGCGCTTCCTCGGTTGCCTTCAGGGTATCCTTGAGGGAGATGGTATCTTTCCCGTGTTGGAGGAAATTTTTGCACGCGCAGTCGACCTTCAAACAGCCTCCTCTGAAGATGCGAGTAGCCCGGTAGCACGTTTCTTCGTACTGAATAGGTGCTAACTGTCTGCGACAGTTGCTCGGTTTGGAACTCGTCAAAATCATCCTCTTCACCTTGCCATATGTAATGGCATCCCCAGCGACCCGCTTCGAGACCCATGCTACTGCCCTCCTTGAAAAGACAGACATCATCGCATCTACTCCGCATGCTCTTGTGGATCTTGTGGACCCATTCTGTCTCACCGAAGGCAAGCCGGCGGCCACGGAGAGCGTAATCAGCTTGATGCAGAAACAGTTACAGGGCGAATCCAATCGGTCTTGGGAGCTCGCATGCCTTCCTCGCCCATGGAAACGAATCTATGAAACCCTCGGGGCTCAGAAAGAAGCCCAAGACGAAGGTGCTCAAGATGGGGAAGAAGCCGAATCTGCAAGCACTACGGCACCCGGCGCAAAACACGCTTTCCCGCAAGTCGTCATGCCAAGTCCTGTCGGCCACGGAGCGAGAGCGATCTTTCCGGAGATCTACCTCTCTGTCTATGCGAACCAAGACATCGAGACGGTACCTCCAACATCGGATATTGCCTCCTCTCTGCTGCGTGACTCGCTCGTTGACACTATCAACATCCTGGACTTCAACCGAATCGCAACTGCGAAGTATCTAATTGACGTGGATTGTTATTTCACCCCAAATACCTTCGTCAAGCGGGCCACGCCTTTTGATCGCTTGCGTGAATTACCCACTGATCGCCCGCAATGGAAGCCGGAAGACGTTGCCGTGGATGCAGTATTCTCTCAATTATTCCAGCTGCCATGCCCAGAACACAAATTCATCTACTATCACTCAGTACTTACCGAGTGCTGCAAGATTGCTCCGGCCGCCATCGCTCCAAGTTTGGGCCGAGCTATTCGTTTCCTATATCGCAGCCTTGAGAGCATCGACCTTGACCTCAGTCAGCGATTTCTGGATTGGTTCTCCCATCATTTGAGTAATTTTGGTTTCACTTGGAAATGGAGTGAATGGTAAGATAGAGCAAACTCCATTGGCTTCAGTTGGTAGCTAATTGGTTATCAGGATCGAGGATCTGGATTTACCTGCAGTTCACCCTCGAATGGCTTTCATAACCGGGGCGCTCGACAAGGAGATCAGATTAAGTTTTGCTCAGCGCATCAGAGGAACTTTACCGGACCCATATCAAGAATTGGTTACGGAAGGGAAGGAGAAAGACACTCCTGATTTCAAGTACATGTCCGACAGTATGTTTATCATGCCCCATATCTTACCCTTTATTCTCTTCCCTCTCGCTGCTCTACTATCTCCCGGTTGGTCCCAACTACATGACCAGTGAATTGACACACTGTCCAGCTACACCGTATTCGAACGAAGGCAAGGAGATTATGCAGCTTGTTCGAAAGAAAGCGAACGACGAGGAGATACAACCTTTCATCGATGCGATAGAAGAGCAAGCTAAGTCTTTGGGGGTCGAGGATACGCTGATTCCATCCACCGACGCATTTGTCACGGCGATTTGCTTTGTGGGATCCAAATCTCTATCTCATTTCCTCTCATGCATTGAGCGTAACAAGGAGCGACTATTGGCCATCGGCCCTAAGTCACCTCGGGCTCAGCGTCAAATTATCACATCCGTCATGGATTACTGGGTCGATCAGCCGGGCATCGGTATAAATATTATCGACAAACTCCTGAATTACACCATCCTTACACCGCTGTCAGTTGTCGAATGGGCCCTAGTCGACAAGCTCGAGGCAGGTACGGTTCTCGCCAAACCGCACGTCTTCGAGATGATATCCGCTACCGTTGGGAAGGTCACAAATCGCCTACGACAGATTGTTGCTGCCCGTACTCAGCCTAGTTTGTACGAGCCTCAATTGAGCGTCCTGGACGAGACTCTGAAACGCGAAAAGACCGATATGCAGGCCCTTTTCCGGGTAATTGAGGACTCCATCGTGTCGGTTGCTGGCGGCAGTAACGACGAACTGATGGAAAGGGGGGACGGAAGTGGTACCTTGCCTGAAGATGAGATCATCCGGCGCTGGGGTCAGCGATGGCTCAGGGTGTTCCGGCGCAAAGCTGGCGTTGAGGAGTCCTTCATTATCGAGACCTTGGTCGGAGCAATTCCGGTCGGTACGGTAGCCCCTACTGCGGTCCCAGATGCCGCTGCTTCGGAGCATGCCCCGTTGAACGGAGATATGGATATTGTCGAGGGTGACGGTGGAAAATAAGAAATCTACAGGGTCCGAGTGGCAACTTCCAGTTCTCTGTGGCATGATAGGGACCGTGTGTATTTGTCTGAATTAGGCTTGGTTCTTGCTTTGTATCCATAGGTGCGTATGTGTGAGTATGTGTTGTTGTAAGATCAATCAAGCCAGCGAATCAGCGCAATTTAGAGTGACATGTATGGATTCACTTTGATCGAATCTCTTGGAAGATATCCAGAAATTAACATCCCACCCATGATAATTAGAAACCTGATGTTCTGGGCGTCGGTGACGTGGTGTAGAGGCAGCTCACTTCAAGAATATCCACAAGGACAGGGTGAAAGGGGCTCGGCTAAGAAGTTCCAGATGTCAGCGGGCCGCGAAACAAACACCAAAGCCATGCTCCGCATCATGTAGTCTTTCCATGCTGTCTTTCACATAAAATGTCGCTGTCGTCGCCAATTCAATTTTAGGTTTCGACTGCTCTAGACTCGTGATTGTATTGCGTCCGAAGATTCAATGATCTATCTGTTTCCAGTTCTGGGATCGGGGAAAAATATATAAAGTTTATGTACAAGCAGAACTGCAGGGATACCTAACTGGAGCGTTGAAGGTAACTCCGAAGTCGCGCCACCAGCGCAGCTTAATGAAGCACTTTGACAACGAACATAAGGTACGGAACAGGCATTAATAAGACAACCATCATACCAGAAAGTGTGTTGTACAGCGGTGATTAGGAAGTGTGATGGCGATGGCAAATAAGTGTTGTGAAAGCAAGAACCATGAACTCGTGAGGCCACCCTGCCATGGAGCAGAAGTCAGTTGGGTGGAATCAATTTCGCATAAACTCGATTCCGTCGCCGTCAAATCATGATCCCGTGACGTTTTGAGGCAACCGTGGGTTTGTTTCTTCTCGAGCTCTCGAGGCCAACGATGAGCGTTGGCTGCGCATGTATCAGATCATTCTGAAGGGGGGAATTTGGAAGAGCCAGGACGAAATTTAAAACCGACAGGCTGATGTGGGGTCCCCGTGTTGATTGTGATAGGCGAGCTTGGAGACACATAGAAGTTCTCGTGTTACAGTCTTTTCTTGGTCTCTCCGTCGGCCAAGTAGCTCCGATCATCCTCGCCTTCGACCGTCTGGAGAATGGTCTCCATCTCTTTCGTTTGCCTCTTCCATTCTTCCTGGTCATTCTTGGTCTCGCGGCGGAAGAGCTCCTCGTTTGGCTTCCGGTAGCTGCCACCCAGACGATCCCACAGAGTAGTGAATTGACCGTAGTTGTAGTTGAAGTAGAGATGATGCATTGTGTGGCAGGCGGCCCCGTTGACGACTGGGCTGTTGGCCACGTATTCACCATCATGAATAAGTACAGTCCAGAGATTGATGAACCCGAAAAGGAAGACGTATGCAAGTTTCTGAAGGGGAAAGATGAAGGGGAAGACGTGATAGGGGACGCTCTGAGACCAGCCATCAAGCGGGTGAAAGGCGTGGGATGCGAAGGGACTGGGCATGATCCACTTGTGGTGAGGCTTGTGTAGTGTCTTGTAGATTAGCGGATGGTGCAAGCCACGGTGAATCCAGTAGATGCAAAGATCTGTGAAGGCAATGAATAGTGGGAATTGCAGGACGCTGTAGTAGGGGAAAGGCTCCTCATCAAAAGTATCGTAGAGTTTGGCGTAGCCACGGACTTCAGCGACTAAAAAGGGGGCCGTCAACAGTGACATGACCGGCATCGATTGCATTGTTTGCGCGATTTCCATGGGGATTTGATTCTTGAGGAACTTGGGGTGGCGAACCGTAGTCTTGTCCCAAATGAAGATGTACGAGAGTGTGGCACAAATGAAGTAGACAATCAGACCAAAGATCCTAATATCGTGACAGTCTCAGTTAGCAGTGAGAATGCGCGACAGGTGGGGGATCGCATCACATACCAGACGATCAGAAAAAAGCTGAGAAACTGACGATAGATGTTGTTCCTCGGCCAAGCGCTCAGGTAGGCGTATTTGCTGGGCTCCAGATAGAATAGTTGCGTGGCCGGTTCATAGACGTAGGGTTCGGATGCACCGAAAAGAGACAGTGTGCTATTGGCAGCCGTATTTACCCCTGGAATTGAGACAGAGGACGAGAACGACAGAGGGAGAAGGAAGGAGTAGAGGCGATCACCAATGAAGGTGTCCCAGATTTCGAGGGCGATATCCATAATTGTGTCCTGATCGCCACAGGGGAATGGTGAACGGAGACAGAGAGAGATGGTGGCTCTCGAAAGTAACAACCGTCCACGAGGATTAGAAGACCTTCGCTGGGGAATCGAGTAGAAGATAGAGACGAGGGAAGTATGGTTGACAGGGACCTTAAATGGAAGGAAAGAGAAAAAAAAAAAAAGAAGGAGAGGGGGGAAATGAGGATGAGGAGGAGCAGTACGGTAGTAGGAATTAGGAAGAGTAGAAAATGAAAGAGGAAGGAAGAGGTACTGTAGTACGGAGTACCAAAAGTAGGGGTAAATTTAGTTTGCCGTGAAGAGTAAGTTAATACCTAGCTAGTTAGAAGAAATAATGCAGGCACCGGTGGAGTATCCGATACAAGGAACGCCAATCAACTAATGGTCTGTTCAGGACGGAGGATCACACCAGAGCGGAACAAATCCAACCGCTCGTCATCGATAATTTGTTGCTGGCTGTTCGCCTGTGGGAACGGAGTATACAGTATACACAAAATATATAGGTATGTTCATGGATTGAGCACATATATGTATCTATAATAGACTCACTTACGCACCAAGCCAGCTTAGGCTTTCTCTCTCATACCGTATCACTAGCCGCGAGCAATCCTCCGTTTCCAAGATCAATGAACCTGATAATCTGTCAAGTCTTGCCCGTCAAGCCGAATGAAAAAGCTGATCTGATCAATAAGAGGTTAATTCTTAACAGTTGACCACCGAGTACTGAGCCATTGATACAACAGTGCTTGCTGCTCCGTAGCCGGCCAAGAAATGGTCAACTGGCCAGCAGTGCTTGGTTTGTGTCCTGAGCTGCAGCCGCTCGCTTGGAGCGGCAAACAGTGGGTGGCGATTGGGTAGCGGAGATATCCCAGCGGAGTTCCGTACTTTGCCTAAACCGAACTGTCACCTCATCTGAATCGACACCCTTCTCCTCCAGGCTCCTCCAGGCTCCTCCTCCTACCTCAGCCTCAGAAACTCAACCACCCGCTCCCTCATTTCATCCACCACTTCCTACCCTTTCACCCTCCCCCACCCCCAAACCCACCACCACATCACGTTCCATTTACAATCACCCTCCCCCCTCCCCTCCCTTGTCCCACCTCTCTTCTTCTCAATTACCTCTCCATCAACTTCAACCTCTACCTCGATCGGTTCCAAAGCTGATCCCCTTTTTCTTTATCATCGAAACCTTGATCTCAATTTGAGCTCACTACTGCGCCAAATCCTTCAGGGCGCGCTGTAATGCGGCTGCGTTGACTGATTACCCTTTTTCAGTCTCTGTGGCCCTGTCACCAAAACCTGTTATCCTCCTCGTCGTCCATCACAGACAACAAACAACAGATATAACCGTTAGGCGGAGCAAATCGACTTTCTTGCTTCTCTCATCCCACCGCATCCTCCCTCTTTCTTCTCCCTTCGCTCTCTCACCTGGGTTTTCTTTGCCTTTTGTCCTCGTGTTTCTCCCCGAAAATCGATCTGTCGGGGTCGTTTCTCTGGCTTCTTCACGCGACAGCACTCAAACATAACTGTGCGCTATGTATAACACTCATCGCGGGATGGTTCCCGCTCCCAACTCTCGCCTGACAGAGTTGTTGGACCAGCTCCGTCAGGAATTTGAGAACCAATCCAGAAGCACTGGCGAGTTTGAACACCAATGTACGTCTGGCCTTTCTTTATTTTAACTGCTCCCTGCATTGGTTCTGCGACCAACTATCTCCCTTCTCTCTTCGATCGCGTTACAACGATCTACTGGGGGGGGGGGATCGGAGGGAATCAGAAAAACAACTCACATAGGGCCACTTCCTCGAGGTGCCGCTTGCTAATCGAATGTCTAGTAACCGGACAGCTGCAGGAAATGGAAATGATCCGGCAAAAAATCTTTCAGCTGGAGCAGACTCAAGTGAAGATGAAGAACGAGTGCGTGACCTATCACATCCGGGGATTACTTTGAGTGCGCATGACACAAGGAAAGCTAATGCCTGTTGCTTCGCAGCTACGAAGCGGAAATTCGAGTGCTGCGACACGAGCTTGAGTCTCGCGGTGTCCAACCCGTCTCATCGCATATCACCGGCCCTGCCCAGCACGCTGGTCCTTCCCAGGCGCCGCCGCCTGCCTTGGGTCATGGTCCGAGCAACTTGTTCGGCGGTATCATGACCAATCAAGGAGGTAGTGGCCCCGGTCTTGCCCCTCCCCCTCCCCAGGATCAGCAGCCTCCCCAGCATACTCTTCAACAACCTGCTGCCGCGGCTCAGCAAGGAGCGCCGCAACCACCGCAGAGCTCGTTCGGAGGATATCAACCTGGTGCTGCTGTGAACGGTATGTTGCGACTTGGCGTTGGAAACAGAACTCCTAGTGACTAACTTGGCTGTGCCTTACCATTGTCCAGGCTATGGGCCCCCTCCTCCACCTGCTGCCTCCCCAGGTCCTGGTAAGCGGCCTCGCGCCCCTCCTGGCCCGGCTACCCCCCAGCAGACCCATCAGCTCGCTTATCCCGACCCACGCGTCTCCCCGCAACTGGCTCGGCCGACCCCTCCTACTCAGTCATTGGTCCGCGATCGCCCCGGGAACATGCTCGCCAACTGGAACCCCGACGAGCTACCGGCTTCACAGAAGCGGGAGGGCGCTGATTGGTATGCTGTGTTCAACCCGGAAGTGCAGCGCGTACTAGATGTCGAACTTGTCCACCATCTCGTCCACGACAGCGTCGTCTGCTGTGTCAGGTTTAGCCGAGATGGCAAATACCTTGCCACTGGCTGTAACCGTCAGGCACAGATTTACGATGTTACTAGCGGTCAGGTTGTCGCCACTCTGCAAGACGAAACAGTCGATAAGAACGGCGATTTGTACATTCGTAGCGTTTGCTTCAGTCCGGATGGCAAGTATCTTGCTACGGGTGCGGAAGACAAACAGATTCGGGTACGTCTAGCTCTGCCTCATTCTTAGGAGGCGAAAGCTTGCCTGGCAGCATCGCCTTTCCACCCCTACTCATCCTCCTCGTTTACTGCGCATGAGCTTTGTTTTCTCCCCTTGGCTCAACCGCCCGAAACTTGCTATATGTTTACGCATTCGCCCACAAAAGGCAATTGGCCGAACCCACCTACTACAGAAGCTAATCAATGTTTTCCAGGTTTGGGACATCAGTTCTCGGACTATCAAGCACGTTTTCAGTGGCCACGAGCAGGACATCTACTCTCTGGACTTTGCGGGCAATGGCCGCTATATTGCTTCCGGCAGTGGAGATAAGACTGTCCGTCTTTGGGACATTCTCGACGGCAAGTTAGTTTACACTCTGAGCATTGAAGATGGTGTGACCACTGTGGCCATGTCACCTGATGGTCATTACGTCGCTGCGGGTTCCCTCGACAAGAGCGTTCGGGTCTGGGATACGACCACCGGCTACCTTGTGGAGCGCCTGGAAAACCCTGATGGCCACAAGGATAGTGTCTACTCGGTCGCATTTGCACCCAACGGTAGAGACCTCGTTAGTGGCAGTCTCGATAAAACCATCAAGCTCTGGGAGCTCAATGTTCCCCGTGGCGCGTACCCTGGGAGTGGAGTCAAAGGCGGAAAATGTGTCCGTACCTTTGAGGGTCACAAGGTAATTTGTCTTTCTGCTATCACCGCAGCTTTGTAGTAGCTAACTTTAAGGCCAGGATTTTGTGCTCAGTGTCTGCTTGACCCCTGATGGCCACTGGGTTATGAGTGGCTCCAAGGATAGAGGCGTCCAATTTTGGGATCCAATCACTGGCAACGCACAGATGATGCTTCAAGGTCATAAAAACTCAGGTACGTTCTCCCGGCGATATGTTCTCCCGAGCAACCTTGTTGTTTGGTGTGCTTCCTAACTGACCCCTTTTCTAGTCATTTCTGTGGCTCCTAGTCCCACCAACAATCTATTCGCTACAGGCAGCGGTGATATGCGGGCAAGAATCTGGAGGTAAGTCTCAATACCTGTGATCATAAGATCAGCATCATGAGACGGAGTGTTCCCCACCTGTTTGATACCTTTCATGAGCGTTGCTAATCATCCGGTCTTTCCTCTTCTTTTCTCTTCTAGATACTCTACGTACACCGGACGGTAATTGGGCTGAACATGGGAAAGCCTTGGCGCAAATATGAAATGTCTTCTGTCTTCGTAACTGCTGTTCTTGCCTTAATTTTGCAACTTGCTGCTCCTCGCTTCGTTCTGCTTCAGGGTGTTTGCGTTGCCGAAGGATGATCGCGTCCTTCCCCAACTCCCGCGCGCGGTTGGGTAAGTGGCCATCCTACAGGGCTGGGCTTTGGCCTTCAAAAGCGCAGCTCAACAACCAAAAGCGAAATCAGTCAATCGGGCTGTGTTGGTAGTAATCACCCGCTGAATTTCCGGTAATGAATTTGTCTACAAAAGAGGCTAATTGCCTTAATGAAAGCACTGTGAATCGTGAATGATATATGTGTAGACTTCATGCTACCTACACTTTAGCTTGGGGAGGGTGGCACAACTGGCTATAAGAGGCAATTTCGAGGGAGCTACCTCGTTTGCGATTCACATACACAATAGTCTATCTAGTATATGCTCTGGACTTTACTACTGATCGACAGTAGCTATAACCCGAAGCAGGTCGTAAACCCTAATTAATGTCTTGCTGGTCTGTCTTTCTGCAATAGTGTGCACTCTGCAGGAATATCCACCACAAGGGAACAGAAGACGTGAATTGGTCTTATGGCTTGAGTTCCAGCACATGGGTGCGGGATTTGAAAGTAGGATCAGGATCTATAGGCTTTTTTTCGGAAACCAGATATGTCTTTCGTTTTCTTTGGGAGGGGCCAAAGCACCCGCGACCCCCCCCCCCTTGGAGGGATTCTGAGATTGCATCGAGCACTGGTGTCAAGCCACGATTTATGTGCAGGTGCATGTCAGCACAGTTCCATAGGGGGCTGATCGGTTGATCTGAAGTTTAAATACTAAATGGGGCTGCCATCAAGCATTCTCCTTATGGAGATGACGCAGTACCCCTGCTAAAACATTGCTGAACTAAACCACGCTGGCGTCTAGGTTCCGTATCTTGACTACCTGAAAAAACACGCACCACAACTGCCGGTTGACAACCCAGCTGGGATGTCGGGCCCATTGCAATTGGGCCAATGCAGGGACAGTCAGCACCTACATACTCAGTAAGTCAATTACGAAGGACGATTCTAGTTTTCCCTCCAAAGCACATTCAATACGAGTCTGTGTGTCCAGTAGGGACGGGAGATCTCCAGTACGTCCAGTACAAAGTGCTGGCCCCAACTTTGCGTAGGGTTTAGTATGCTCCGTCCAGACTGTGGTATTAGCAATATACTGCAACTATTATACTGTACACTATACTGTACAAGGTATTTTGGTTGGGGGGGGGCTGTGGGCTTAATATGAGTATTTCATGGCTGAAATTGTTAGCACACAAGTGGCCTAGTTAGTAGCATAATGCTAGTAGCGGAGTTAGAACAAACAAATGGAGATTCTATGGCGTTCACGAGGGATTGCCAAAAAAAAATACAGGAAGATGAAGGGCGTTGAATGATCGACTCGGTAGTCATAAAGTACTAGGTACTGACTGGTGTACTCCGTAGATACCTGCTCCTAAAGAGTCTGGCGTGAAGGAGATGCCAATCAACTCGTGTCTCGGTGGCGGCAACAGTTCGGAGGAGCCATTGGCGGCTGATTTCCATCCCGGCCTGGCTTTGTGATGACTACTACCTACCTTACTAGGTAGTATCTAGTGGTAGCCTGGAAGTAGTTACCTAGGTAGGTACCCCTCCCTTCTGTAAGTTTCTTACCTGGCATATCGGCGATAACAGCTGGGGGCTTTTGCTCTCTGCTGATTGTCCTACGCACATGAAGGAAATATTGGTCGCTACAATTACACTAATGCATTGTACATCCACGCAGATCGTGCATGAACTACTCCTGATGTCAGGTTACTTGGAGACCACAAGTAGAGTAAGTGGTTAGAGGCTAGAACTAGGAAAGTCAGAGATTTACTGTATAGCGTGCATGAATAGGTCAAATTGTAAGTCGAACTTCCTACAGACAGAATGAGAGGGAGATAGGATTGAAGAGTCAAATAAGAGGAATGGATGAAGAGCAAAAAAAAGCTGCTTGGCTCCTGATTTTAGAGGATGTTGATCGGGGTCGAATGTATTGCATCATTGCCTTGTGATGTATCCAAGGGGAATGGTCCTTCTTTTGCCTCCAGATTGCGTCTTCTTGTCCTGTTTGCCTGTCTACATACTCATGTAGACCGCAGATCAGCCGCCAGCGGTAATATTAGCCAGAAATCCAATGACCACCGGAGATGAGACACGGCATCGTCCTATTTTTCAGATTGATGGTTCGCTAACACTATGGAGCACAGTCTCCGTACATCTGGGCTTGCTCCAGTGTTGAGACGGAGCTTTCAGCATGGAAGGACCAAGAGCGCCTCGTTTTCATTCCCCCAACGCGGACTCCGGGTGGATCCTCATACCGTGAAGCTAGAAGAATGAACCCCACAGCACTGGGTAGGGTCAATAGTACAGTACTGTGCATACGTGCTCAGTCGTACATACGTACTTGACGTACTTGACAATCCTAAGATAAAGAAGGCCCGGCCCGTCACTAACTTTTTTTTTTTTTTTACCGACACTCAATCGAGATTGTTAATGTATTCCAATAGACCGATCGTACCCTTTTCTCATAGAGGCCATGTAAGAGTAATTATCACCTCTTGATCAAGCATCCACCTTCTTCACTCAACAGTGAGATTCGTCCTTAGGACTCTAACTAGGGCCCATTGAAAGCACGAGCATCGTTACTCAGTACCTTATTGTTACCCCGACTCGGAGAAAGGAGGCTAGATATAAACCTAGTTCTGGTGGATATTGGTTTACTGGTTGCAGCATGATAACTACTGTAGTTACTGTCCATCATTCCAAGTTATAGGTCCCATATCTCGAGCTGTCACTGGACATGAGGAGCCAAGGTAACGGGACTTTACCTACGATAGCCCTGAGTGGCTGAGAATGAGAGACCCTCCCCGCAGTGTCCACGAAGTGATCAAGAAAAGTCCATGGCGGACAATAATGGAAGGGGGGGATGGACGAAGGGGAAGGGGGTTTGGGCGGAAAGGATATTGGCAGACAGACAATTCCTTGTCGCCAGTCGCGGCTGTCGCAAGTTTTTTTGTCGGATTCTTGTTTTATTTTTACACAATAACGAATAAAATAAATTGATTTCAATTTTGCTTGCGGTGTCTCGACTAGTCTACGTGCTTAGGCTAAAGCATAGTGGTGGGTGGAGTGGAGCAGCGAATGAGCCCGCGAAAACTTAAGTGCACGGGGAAGAGGAAATGACAAGGCCTGGGGGCCTGGGGGCCTGGGGTTGATGGACCTGAACTTTGAAGGCTGCACGAAGGCTGAAGGAAGGCTGAATGAGTAGTAGGTACAATTACTGTACGAAATACTAGATTATTAGGTAACTTACTAGGCCATGCATGTACTCTACTCCGTGGTCTGTCTACGGAGTACTCCATGGGTAGGAAAGTAATTGATCGCCTGCGGGCGGTCCGTCCTCGGGATCTCCTGTCTAATTTCTCTTCTACTCTACCCAGAAAGAATCACATCAGCTTGATGTCAGTGGTTTGCTCACTATAGACTATGAACATTCTACTACTAGTACAAGTAAGTAGAGTTGGCCTACCTCAGAGTCTGATGCTGATGAGCAGCAGCACAACTCCGTTCTTGACTTTGAGAATTCAATCCTATAATTGACATCGCGTCCTCGTCTCTATCCGCATCCGTGCACTAGAGCCACCCTGCCATGATCTACATACAATCAATCAGGTGATGATCGTGATCCTTCGAGCTCCCGAGGGATCCATGCTCTAAAGAAGCCCCCATTCGCCGAGATAGATCCCGTTAGCCCAGGTAGGGGGCTGCGTAAATGACTGGGGTATCCTAGCTGTTTCAAGAACCGCGCAGTTGCGATACGAGAAACTTGATCTACTGTTAGGTAAGCAGCATGGCAGTCGAGAGTGAAAAGAGGCAATGTCTTATCTTCATAAACGAGGGCTGTCATACCTCGCTATTCCGGTCTCAAAACAAACATGCTCGGAGCCAGGGATAGTCCTCCGTCGTCTCTAATACTACGGAATACGCAGTAACTTACTAGTCAGGTACAGGATTATGAGTACCTTAAACTAAGCTACTACTACCGGTACTACTACTCGGTTCGGTGCGTTACGGTTGTCATTTTTTTCGCCACTGTCATCGATCTACCGCCTTGGGCATCCTCGTACCGCTTCCCATTCAGGTATGATCTGAGGCCTCCGAGTCTCAACGAATGGCTATCACAGAACGGAACAAAACCGGCAGATCTGAAATTAATAATCAAGACTCCAATCGTAAGTGACCATACTGAGTACTACTCATAAATGAATCTGTGTCAAAAGCTACATATTCCCCACTGCCTATTTGTGCGGAGGAGGGTCGACATCACGGAGTATCACTATGATGAGTATGTACATACATACTATACATACATAGTCATACGTACTAAATATGTGCTGTGTGCCTGTGACTCTATACAGTGTACAGTAACCGCTGCTAGCAAGAAAAAAATAGAAAGAGAAAAAGTGAGAAGCCAAAAATGAAAAATAAATAAAAGAAGGAGGATAAAACCTCCGTATCCCTCAATGTGGTGGGTGATAGTCAATCAGCCCGATCGGAAGGTCACCACACATTCCGCGATTGGGCCAAAGTGTCCACGAGTACGGAGTACTCCGTACAGTAACTTACATGGTAGTCCATTCTACTACTACCTAGTCACGGCGTTCATCATGCAGCCCTCAAAGGACCAAATTTTCGCCCCAGTAATATCTGAGGTGCGAACGGGGCCAAAACAACAGAAGCAGATGGATGAGAAAGTGAGAGAAAGGCTAGAGTAAGCAGAAGGGAGAGTAAAAAAGATGAAAATTAAATAAAATGAACAAATAATAATAGAAACAGAAAGAATGTTCATCAGCCTTGAAGGCTTAGATCTCACCTACAATTTTGTTCCTTGGGCAATTCATCATCGATCTTCCCGTCTACAAACCACTATCTTAGCAGGTAGGTCGGTATTGTAACTACAAGTATGTATACATCACCTCAGGTAAATTCGAACCGCAATGATGGAACCAGTTTAATGCAATGTACGGAGTACTTACTCTTATACTGTACAGCCTTTTATTTTAACCTCCAAGTACTGTACATTCTGACAAACTGGACAGGGCGAGGCGAAATTGAGATGGAGAAAACAATGCGATAAATCGAAGCATGGTACGGGCACAGCTGAGAGGCACTAAGTTACGGAGGAATTAGAGGAATTAGACAAGTTCAAGTTAGTTAATTTAAGTTAGTTAACTCACTAACTGTGGACTAGGTACTGTATCTACTCAGTAACCAAGTCACAAGTGCTTAAGTTGCTGCACCACCCATGTTCTACGATCCTGCATATGATTTCAATCAGGATCTTTGTCTTGTTCTTGGTTCTTCTTGATCGTCTTCTGTTTCTTGTTCCTGCTCGTCTCTTCTCTTTTTCTTCTATTATTACCATTCTGATACCATAAATTAGCTTTATCTGTATTTTCTGCATTATTTCCAACACCCGCCATTCTCGCCCCCATCCTCCCCCCTGAGTGAGCCTTTCTCTCTCTGGATTTTACCTATTACTCACCTAGGCAATAATTTATTTTCTGACTGACATGCATTCATCCATCCATCCATACATCCATATATACATACATACATACATACATACATACATACATCCATACATGATGTGTACGGATGGATATACCTATCAATCTTTCTTCGACTCCGTCCATGCCCTCCATTCAGCTACCTAGACCAGGTACCGATCAACAGGCTAGATCCCTGTCGATTTCCCACCCCGCTGCTTCCACTTCTCTGGGACACTAAGAAGGGGGGGTGGGCGGGATTGACTTGTATATCTAGTCCTAAATCGCCATCTCTCCAGCTGTTCTCAGCTGTCAAAACAGGCGAAAAAAAAGGACCGAGAAAGAGAGAAAGAGAGTGTGAGTGAGAGTGAAAGTGTTTCAATAAGCTTCGCGGAAACAAATCTCAAGGCCAAAAGTGAAGGGAAAAAAACAATAATTCTCTAGGTAAGGTTACGAAGAGGTATCAATCTTGACCCAGCCGTTTTCTGGCTCACTGCACCATCACCTATTCTTTTTGTCAAACGCCTGAAGATAATTCCCCCCACCCGGAGTATGAAGCAACATCTCTTGGTGGCCAACTCATACTCATTGATTAGCGAGTCCCACGGCCGGCACTGATGCTATTGGGGTGACTTCACTGGCCGACAGCTACCAACGACTATTGAACATTCGACTACTTTTCTCGCTTTCTTGTCTCTTGCGAGAGCCCATATAGACAAGCCGAGTCCAGGATCTACCGGAGGACATAACCCGTTGGGGATGTTTCTCAAGGTCACCTCTCTCGCCCGATGTCTGTATCTTGAATCCAGCCTGTGCAATCAAACAGGATTCCTATCCACCGGCTTGCGGTCTTTGCTTTTTTGCCCTCATTCGAAATAGGCTGTTGGCCGTGAGATATAGCAAGAGAGTCTCAACACTCACTGCCTACAGCGGAAGAGAAGGCTATTCCCCGCGCCCACCTATAAGACACCCGCCTCCCCCACCAACCCCAAGATCATCTTTGCCTCTTGCTGTGCTCCATCCACAAGGGTCAGACTAGACCATAGCTAAAGGATTGCAGCGATAGCCCAGCCACCGGCGTCGATCTTATTCTCGGCTTTTTATCTCCCGGAAGAAGCTTCAAAAGCAGACAAGATTCAAAACGAGGCTCTGAGAGCCCAGGGCAATAGCCTCCAACCCTTGACATCGATTTAAAGCGCTTACCGATATGGAGGCAGCGGAACCTGTATCCTACGAATTCCCAGGCCATGCTATCGGCGCCGTTGCACCCCGTCGGATGATGAACACCGGCCTAGGCCATACTCTACCATTTTACCCCGGCCCGACTGCTTCATTCCCTCTTTCTTTTCATCAACAATCGTCAGCGAGCTATGGCTTCGGACATCCCATGAATCAGCACCATCATCATCCACAGCAGCATCACCACCACCAGACTAGCTACCAGCATTACTTCGTACCGGGTCAGCAACCCTTGAACTCCCAGCCGGTGCGCCTCTTATCGGAGCCGCCCTCTATCCAGCCAATTCCAGAGATTCGACCGGCCAAGAACGCGGTCAGTCGGATGATGAAAGATGCCTCGGCCAGTATTGGCCACAAGTCGAGCGTTCAGCAGCCATTGGGACAGCATCCGACGTCTGGAGGACCAACACAGGGGAGAAGTCCATGCCCGAATGAAATCGAATTCTCAACCGAAGTAGACATCCTCATGAAAGCGATACAGTCAAAGGCCAGCACTCAGTCGGCAATCGTGCAGTCACTCCCGCCACTTCAGCAAATGACGCATGGAGTGAATCCAAGTACCTTCGCCCCTCAATATTCGATCCAAGCAGCCACGAACCCGCGCTGTACTGTGATTGTTGAAGATCAGCCACTGCTTTCAGCAAAGAAGCGCAAGTATGCTTGCACCCTTCCACATTGCGGCAAGAGTTTTGCGCAGAAGACACATTTGGACATCCACATGAGGGCCCACACAGGAGACAAGCCCTTTGTGAGCGAAACAAAATCCTATCAAACCAATGGAATAGGCACTGACAACTGATCTGTAAGGTATGCAAAGAGCCCTTGTGTGGCCAGCGCTTCTCCCAACTTGGAAACCTGAAGGTAGGCCGCGCCTATGCTTTGATACTGCTCGCCCGTTCATGCAATGTCTAATTAGTTCTGTCGGCGGCTTCAGACCCACCAGCGACGCCATACAGGAGAGAAGCCATTTTCCTGTGAGATATGCCATAAACGATTTGCCCAGCGTGGCAATGTTCGCGCACACAAGATCACCCACCAACATGCAAAGCCTTTCACTTGCCTTCTGGACGACTGTGGTAAACAATTTACACAGTTGGGTAACCTAAAGGTGTGCCCTTTCATGATTCACCTTGCTGCTCGTAGAACTCATCTGGGCTGACTAAAGTGGTAGTCACATCAGAACAAATTCCACGCAGCAACCCTAAAAATTCTGACTCTGAAGTTCTCTCAGGTGACGGATGCAGATAACATGAGCTCACAAGACCAGAAGCTCTGGGAATACTTTGCTACCTTGTACAAGAATAGTAACAAGGGCATTAAAGGCCGCGGAAAAGATCGCAGGATATCTCCGACTGCGAGATCCGAAACCAGGCCCGACACCCGCAGAAGGCTGCAGTCTCTTACTAACAGTGACGGAAAGGGGCGCCGCGCAAGTTATGGAGAAATGTCGACCTGTAACGGAGCTTCCAGTAGCGACGAAGAGGATATTGGACCTTACTTCCTTGACAGGCAAGGACACTGACTTATTTATTGGGGGAATTTCTTCCGTTTCTACGACTTTCCTTCGCTTTGAGAGTATGCTGATACCAGATTCAATTACTTTCACATTTTGCTTTCATTTACAACACACGAAAGGAACACTGCATTGGGAGGGATGAAGTAATTGAGGGGAGAACATGTCCAGGGTCCGATGTAATACATGTATAGCATCCATTTGTATAAGCAGATTCTGAACTCCAGATAGATCTTCGACTTGCTCTGCCTCCGTCATCCTGCTAGTGATTAGATGAGCGGGGAGGGAACGTTGCCCCTTTAAATCGGTTTTACGGACGTTGCAATTGAGTTCAACAAGAGGCACGGGGGGCTGTCTTTCTGGATTGCGAGACTTAGCTAATGCCTTCAACTACCCCTTAAGAACCAGCCGCGGCAAATATGCCCGAGTATTCTCATATACAAGGAACGTGACCCATGTGTTGGGTAGTACCCGCAGCAGATTTGGCACCAAACCTTTGTAGAAGCCCTTGATTCCCTCTCTGACCCAAATTTTCATTACCGCATCGCGAACGCCCATGTAAATGATATGCGCGTCATAGGTCTGCAACCGGGACCGCAATACCTGGTATGGGTATGTTACGCACCCAGCAAAGAGCTTCGAGAGGCTGGACAGGACGAAGTAGTCCACGTTCCCCAGCTCTGGTGACTCTGGCCGCCACGAGCTTGGACCATCGGTACCGCCTTGGGCGTCGCCGGCCGCCATGCGAGTGCGATACAGCTTCAGTTGCTCATAAGCCATGAACTGCAGCGCACCATGGCTGACTCCGAGCATCGCCGGGACTAAGCCCCTATAAAAGCCGGATAAGCCCTCTGAGCGGAAGATCTGTCTCGCGCCCACGACGAGGGAGGCATAGGCTCCTGGTACCCGAGAGCCGGTTGACAACATGCGGGTTTTGATAACCCAGATAGGATTCGTTAAGACGGATGTCAGCATACCTAAAGACCGGGTTCAGTTTTTCTGACAATTAGCGAAACCGCCGGAATCTCCCACTGACGCTCTGTCTAGGTCTAGAGAAGACTTACCGGCGGATCCCGAGGCTAGAAAATAGTCGGCCGAGCTCAAACCCTCTCCTGAAGTACCTCCACGCCAGGTTCGCATCAAGTCTTTGATATTGCCGTAGCACAGGAAGTATAGGGCCCAGCTAGTCGAGTTTCCAAGGAGATTGGGCGTCAGGCCTCGATAGAATGCAGCCAGGCCACCTTCACGCTGAAAGATGCCTTGGACAAGTCGGAGTGATCCATGGCTGCGAGAGCTTAAAGACGGGTCAACTGTAATGCGATTCAGTAATCAGATCATCAAGTGAAGAGTGCGGAGGCCGCAGTTCATTTGTTCGTTCCGAGGAAACAGAGAGGCGCACCCTGAAGTCGAGTCTTGATCAAATCCAGCGGATGCAGGCAAAGCGTTGAAACAATTCCCGCCGTCAACCCTGCTACGGTCTCCACAAAGGATGACGATAGGCCATCGTTGCCAGTCATGAACTCTTCGACCCCACCAAAAAGGCTCCGGGCTGATGGTCTCTAGGAAATGAGATATATGTAATATTTCGTCTTTGAGTGCGGGGTGTGAATTGGATTGGTTTAGAGCGACTACGGATTCGCCCGGGCCTGGGCTTTGACTTTGCCTGCATGGTTTAAGCTTGGCGGGCCGAGGCCGCGGTATCCAGTCTGGTGCGATTTTCCGGCTATTATCGCTAACACAAAAAAGTTTATGGTGAACTTTTCATCTACTCTGTGGGAGGACTTATTGCGATGCCCCTCCGGCGCTCCGCTGTTGTATAGTTCGAAGCAGTCACATTGCGTCACTCTCATGTATGATACCCGAAACGGAAGAAAAGAGGGAAGAAGAGGTGAAAAAAGTCAAATTAAGTCCATTCGCAAGAACCAAACCAAAACAAAAAATGAGAATTGACAAATCCCAACACAGTATTAGAAATACCCCTCCGTCTTTGTTTAACTCCTGCACATCCAGATTCGTACTTCCTTACCGGCGATAAGGCGAGAGGCCGAGGCTCCGTGCAGACGGTCCGGTTCAATCCAATCTCATACCTGCCACAGATTGAGGAATGAAAATCTCAGATGCCATATTTCCTTGGAGGGAGCCTCGTATGCAATGCGGCTAGGCCTTCCACAACTCTATGCAAGCGGCGAGAACAGCCTATGTGCCATGGTGTTAGCTGGGTGTACCGATGGGAGGAAAACTGGCATCAAGGTTCGTTCATACTTGAAAAGCGAAGGTCTAGGCTCGCTATAAGTGTAGCCTGTCAAGGAAAAATCAGTATTGGGGCTGTTTTCATTGCTTCCAAAACGAATTGGGCTCATTCCCGTAGGATCATACCGAGGTAGATGATCAGAGGAAGATATCCGCTAGTACAAGTCAACCGTCAGCTGCGGCCACCTTGAAATGAGAGAAGGGGGGTGGTTGATGAGTAGCTCACTAGTGAATAGCAACTCTGGAGACGTCAATGACCTTGGAGATACGCTCCTAGGAAACACAGACAACTGTAAGCCAATGGTATATGCGCAGGCTACTCACTAAAACACAGGCACTCACCTTGGTTTCTTCGGAGAATTGGACCATGTTGAGCGGTAATGGCTTCCTAGATCAAAGGCAGGATTCTGAGTCAAGCAGAGGCCAAGGGCAAGGATAGATCAAGAGTCGAGGTGAAAAGCCAGAAAGCAAAACAAAAGGCGTTGGCTACCGGTATGTTGTTTTGGTGGGAGTGATGACGGAGGACGGGGAGAAGGTGAAGCTCAAAGTTTTCCGGGGCTAACAAAAACGTACCGCTCCGCCGACGAACGCTTTCTGTCTCCAACGACGGATCGATCCCTCCTCCGCAACTTGCGCTTCTCCGCTTCCCTCGCTTCGGTGTCCGAGTCTTGCACGCTATCTGTATTTGATATCAAATTCAGGCACGCGTTCTGACCCACGACTTGTGCTTCATCTCCTCCTTTCACCTGCCAGTCAGCTGTAATCAGTGAAGGGGCTTCAACAGCTTCTTGCCACGCGCGATGTCCGGCGCAAGACATTGGTAGGTGCTGCACGTCTCTATTGCAGGCCAACGTTCTCAAACTCACTCGTTGACTACATAGGGAGCAAGACAAAGAGGCTACCGTCTACATTGGGAACCTCGATGAACGTGTCACGGATAGCCTGGTATGGGAGCTAATGCTTCAAGCCGGGCGCATCGTTAACGTTCATCTGCCTAAAGATCGAGTCACGCAGTCACACCAGGGCTATGGATTTGTGGAATTCATCAGTGAAGAGGATGCCGAGTATGCATCGCGGATTATGAATGGTATCCGCCTGTACGGAAAACCCATACGCGTGAACAAGGCCTCTGCCGACAAGCAGAAGGCTGTGGAAATCGGTGCAGAGCTGTTCGTCGGAAACCTCGACCCAATGGTGACAGAGCAGGTCCTCTATGATACATTCAGCCGTTTTGGGAACTTGATCACTCTTCCAAAGGCATGTTTCACTTCCTTCTATGGATTCCCGTCGCTGAACATGACTCTCGCTCCTGGCAAGTTGTCTGACACTTTGTTTTACTCAGATCGCACGAGATGACAATAATCTTTCGAAGGGCTATGGATTTGTGTCGTTCGCCGACTTCGAATCATCAGACGCCGCCATAGCCAGCATGAACGGCCAGTACCTGATGAACAAACAGGTTTCAGTCCAGTATGCGTATAAGAAGGACGGCAAGGGCGAGCGGCACGGTGACCAGGCAGAGCGGATGCTAGCGGCACAGGCTCGCAAGCACAATGTGCGTCCGGTGACTCAACCGCTCCCAGCGCAATTCTCTGGACCTGGAGCTCCTATGCCATCAGCGGGCGTGGTCAATGGTGACAGCTCTCGACCTGTGAGCACTGGCCCACCAGATTTAGGTATTAGCAGGGGCGTGCCGCCCCCGAATCTTGGTTATCAGAATACGCCGCCTCAGTCAAATCGACCAATTCATCCCGCGACATCTTTAGCCACCCCGCCGCCGGGTCTACCAGCACGTCCGCCTCCTTCGCAAGCTGGTTACGGGGGGCCGCAAGCTTTCCTTCCCACCGGCTACAATGGCGCCGGTCAACAGCCACCTTACCCTGTCCAAGCAGCGCCTCCACCAGGTTTTGCACAGCCGGGTTACGGCCCTGCTACGGGAACCCCTGGGCCTCAGCCTCCTTTGCCCCCAGGCTTTCAACAACCTGGTTTTGGGCGGGGTCGTTGAGTCTCGGTATCACAATCGCCGTCTCGTCAAGGAAGTATTCGGACAACGACAGCTGGTTTGGTCAAGCAGCTCGCGCTCCAAGAATTTTAATCTCCCCACCCGATTTTCGCCACAGTGCGCATCTTGATTCTACGTTATCAGATGACGCTCGTGTGCTGCCTTCGAAGCACCTTCTTGCATCGTCCTACTGATAATCGAACCTCGGTTGGCAGTTGGTTTCGCATAGAGACCGTCTACAAACTGTGCAACGAATCATACTGGTGCATATTAATACTAGAGCGGTGCAATAGACGTGTCAATACGTGTCAATACATGGTGATAACAAGAATATTGGCAGTTGTACCAAGCTTTGGAGCGGAGCGCCTTTAGCAAACTGTACCACAGATAGCAAGATAGGGGAGCATTCGGCGACTTCCGAAGGTCACCTTATAGAGTCGATGATTGCCAATATACTTGTATGGTTGCACACAGGCTCAGACCATGAGAAGAGCGACAACGACAATAGAGAAATCAATTTGTAACATAATACGCGGTTAGGAAAAGGAAACAAATTTGGGGTCTCTTGGCCGGCCATCCGGGCCAATATTATTTTTCGCAAATCGTTGCTCTGTGTAAAGGCGACGAGCTTCATCAAAGTTGACTTTCTGCCGGTGCATGATTCCCCGAATATCACGTTTTGCACGACTGTCCAATCCAGCTCTACTATCTCCATCTGCGACGTTTGCAGAAAGATCAAATTCTGTGGATGTAAAGCCAGCTTCGGCATCATTGGCAAAACTGGAAGGAAGGCGATGGTAGATATATTCAGGCACGGGAATAAACGGTAGCCATCGTGCACGAGTAAGGTAGAGAGCTGCAGATATATTAGACTCGATCCAGAACCAGGAAGCCATAATCCTCAAGGAGAACCCTCAAGCTTACCGGTGCCACCAATGATAACCGTGAAGGTCAGAAAGAACAAGATATAATAAGCCATGGTCTGAAGTCTTGCTGGTAGGACCCCGGGAAGATCCGCGCCAGCTTTCCGATCGGTACCGTTGCAGACTTGCGGATGTTGACGACTAGGAGACGAGGCTAGCCTCTTGGGTTTGAATTGTCGGTAGATGAGAGAATCTGCTTCGTGATGGCAGAGGCGACTCCCACGATACACTACATGGGCGGCAACATCAAGAGTAACATAGGCATCAGCAAGAACGTACTCATGTAATCTGGCCGGGTGTGTGGAGAAGATGGGAAGGCTGTGGAAGATGCCAAATTGGACCGTGCACGTTAACACCCGAACCTGGACAGCTGATGCCTGCACCTGCAGACTAACTAACAATGATTACGGAGTTGAGTCACTAGACAAGCCTCTTGATGCCTAATTTACAAGGCACAAAGGCATCAGTATATCTCTCCCACGCGCTCCACACGCTAGCTAGGCTATTCCTGAAGCGGCCTGCTTAGCGAGCCTTTTCCAGCGTTGCCACTCTTGGCATTGGCACACACACAGGGCTATTAGTATTGGCAGCAAGAGTCGTATATACCGAACGGACTTGCGACGACTTCGACCTGCCACACATACCCTCAAGCTTCACACGCTATCTTCACAATGGCCGCCGACAGAACCAACGTCTCCAGCGATCTCATCTGGCAGATCACCCGTACGTCACCATCCCCTCGTACAGCACTGGGCAATACATAGAGATTCTCAAATGAAGGGCCCCGAGATCCGCTTCTCGCCATTCACCGCGCGACCTGGCCATCCCCTCGAATTCCGGCTAATCTGCGAATTTTGGAACAGGCAACCAGAATGCTTTCCTGGTGAAGCGTAACAGCGGCGGTGGTTCTCAGTTCTCCCGTGACCCTTTGAACGTGCAGAACAAGCACTCTTTCAAGGTAAGAGTCCCAGGACGAATGTCACCTTGACTTCTTGAGTGCTAATACGGTCTTGCTTTTTAGTACGCCGGCTATGCCAACAACAAGGTAGCCCATACTATCCCCTCCTTTACCCGCGAATAAACCTCCTGATATGTTGCAACAGGCCATTGGTGTTCAGGCTACCGAGAACGGCGGTGTTGTCGTCCTCACCAAGAAGTCCAACTCCCAACAGCCCGCGAAGAACATCGTCACCGTGAGCTACGGCCCCAGCGCCTCCACCCGCAAGTAAGTCGACGTCATATACCGATATGTTTTTCTGTCCAGAGCACATGTATGGCTGACTGGTTGCACTTGCTCTCTACAGGATCTTCAAGGGTGTTGCCGACAAGACCGCTAAGAAGGGCTACCGTGCCGATCTCCGTGAGGCTGCTGTCGCCCGTGTGAGCGCCATCCGCCGCTCCCAGAAGCCCAAGAAGGAGTCTCCTCCCCAGAAGCTTCGTGGCGCTCAGGCTAAGAAGGCCGCCGAGAAGGACCAGGAGTAAGCAACAATAGTAGCAAGAGGGATCCTAGGGTTGAAGCTCCCCCGAAATGGGCGCATCGATCATAGTAGGACTGTGTCAACTAAATGGCGGAAGCATCTGGGTAATGTAGCATGATCAAGCTACCATGAGAAATACCACCGGCCATGTGATATAAGATAATCCGCAAATTGAAAAAGGAAAAATGTCAAAAAGAAGTTCACATCAAGCCATAAGCGCATTCTGCTTTTCGCTATGCGATTGCTTATCCACTTGTGGTGATAGCAAAACTAGTGCAGTTTGTTGGGTGCGGGGAACATATTTCCGTCCATCAGGTCTAAGCAGGACCAGCGTGAGTACCGTTGTTACCGGCCGGTAGGCCAACAATAGCCGTGCATTTGCCGTAGGATACTCAAATCACGGATGAGGCCATCCGCCTTTTTCCGATGACTAGTCAGAGCGGAAGAAGGAGACTCCTTCTCCATTGAGAGTCGAATTCAGGTACCGACAAACTCCGCCGGAAACCTAGCCCTCCAGGAGTAGCAAACAGGGAAGATTCCGGACGGAGACGATCGGGCCTATAGAATCTCTAGTAAGGATTGAGGTTGATCCGTTCACCCAGACCTAACTTATGGATGACGACAATGACAGATTCCCGGGAAGAGGATGTTACCTCGGTTTTCTCCGTCCGGCTGTGGTTGTGGATACCTAGCGAATGCTGTTTGTTGTTGTGGTGGTGGTGGTGGTTGTGTTGTTTGTTTGGTTGTTTGGTTGTCGGACAGGTACCTAGGTCATGAAAAGAAGTAGCACCATCCAGTATACGTAGATATACATAGTATGAGTGCTGAGTATGTACGAGTATGAGTAGTATTACGTCTACAGTCTACAGGGAAAGGAAGCTACCCCCTTGTCCCCCACATGTGATTTTCACCAAGGCAGCTTAGCTGGTCTGTGAGTATATAAGCTCGGCCATCACAACATCCTCCAGTTGCCCTTTTCACATTCCGATTATATCATTCTTTTATACTAAAAACAATTACACAAAGTACATAGTAAGTTCTTACCAACAAGTTCGGTTCATGTGTATTTCTCTATACTTCGACAGTGCTCCTCTTTGAAAAAAAATATATTTTTGTTGTCTTCTGCTTCTTTCTTCTTCTTCTTCTTCTTCTTCTTCCTCTTCTTCTTCCCTCCCCCCCCCTCCCACATACTTCCTCTCTTTACCCCTCTTTCCTTTCCCCACGATTTTCAATTACCTACCTCCCCTCCCCCGTCCCCCCCCCTCCCTACCCCTCTCCCCTCCTGATCTCCTACCCACTCTTCCTTTCCTCACCAAGTCCCAACCAATCCTCAAGCCCCGGGTCCCAAGCCGCAAAGGCTCCAAGCCCGCGGCAGAAGAATGGCACTTTCCCTGACCTGCTCACCGTAAAATGTGACCGTACCACCACCCAACCCCACCCGTCATTTCTTTTTATCAAACAAAAGCTTCCCCCGCCCAACCCTTCCTGACCTGCCCCTCCCCTCACCTCCTCATCCCTCTGACCCATTTGCTTTTTCCTTTCTACGTCTCACATATATCTTTCACTCACACTACCTTAGGGCTGCATACCTGCATACCTCACTCCTTCCAAAGAGTCACAGCATTTCAAAAATGGTTAAAGCAGGTGAGTGCCTGGCTACATTTCAACCTAGCTTCCGGTATAGACGGGAAAACATGCAACAAATTCCACTGACCTCCCATAAACAGCTGTTCTCGGCGCATCGGGTGGCATTGGCCAGGTCTGTATCATTATTCCGACGATTGTCCTCTCAACCGAGCCATTAAGCCCCAACTGACTGCCATTCTACTATTCGGTTGTGTAGCCCTTGTCTCTCCTGTTGAAGACTTCTCCGCTGGTTGACGAACTCGCCTTGTACGATGTTGTCAACACTCCGGGTGTCGCTGCCGACCTGTCCCACATCTCTTCTGTTGCTGTAGGTACCCACAAACCCGGCCCTCGACTGATGGAGTATTGATGACTGATGACGTCCGCCCCGTTCGCAGAAAATCACTGGCTATTTGCCGAAGGATGATGGCTTGAAGCATGCCCTGACTGGAGCTGATATCGTTGTCATCCCCGCTGGAATTCCACGTGAGTCCCTCCCCTTTTAGACACCACAGATCGTGAACTCTAATACCAACGCTTTCTGCTAGGCAAGCCTGGAATGACCCGCGATGATCTTTTCAAGATCAACGCTGGTATTGTGCGCGACCTGGTCAAGGGCATTGCCGAGTTTTCCCCCAAGGCGTTCGTTCTGATCATCTCTAACCCCGTCAACTCAACGGTTCCCATTGCCGCAGAGGTACTCAAGGCCGCTGGCGTCTTTGACCCTAAGCGCCTCTTCGGCGTGACTACCCTGGATGTTGTACGCGCGGAGACTTTTACCCAAGAATTCTCGGGCCACAAGAACCCATCTGCTGTTAAGATCCCCGTTGTGGGTGGCCACTCTGGTGAAACCATTGTCCCGCTGTTCAGCAAGGCTACGCCCGCCTTCCAGATCCCATCAGACAAGTATGATGCCTTGGTCAATCGTGAGTCACTCCCGCTTCGGTCACCGTAAGCTCTGAGTATGTATGCTTATGCTAGCCCAGGTGTTCAATTTGGTGGAGATGAGGTTGTCAAGGCTAAGGATGGCGCTGGATCTGCGACTCTATCTATGGCTTTTGCTGGTTTCAGGTCTGACTCCTTTCATTCCGACAATGTTACAGCTCAAGCTTATCTTGTTGCGTCTTAGATTTGCCGAGAGTGTGATAAAGGCTTCCCAGGGCCAGACGGACATTGTCGAGCCCACATTTGTGTATTTGCCTGGAGTTGCTGGTGGTGACGAGATTGTCAAAGCTACGGGCGTCGAGTTTTTCTCTACTCTTGTGGCTCTTGGGGTGAGTTTCGATACCTGATTGCAAGGCAGATAGTGACCGGTTCTAACGCTGCGAAAACAGGCGAATGGAGCAGAGAAGGCTATTAATGTGTTGGAGGGCATCACCGACCAAGAGAAGAAGCTTCTTGAGGCTTGCAACAAGGGCCTGAAAGGCAACATCGAAAAAGGCATCGACTTCATCCAGAATCCTCCACCAAAGTAAATTTGTCTATCCCCGCACATCATTTGCAAGTTTTCCATCCGTTAGTCGATGTTTTGTTGATACCGTGCACTTGTCTCCTACCTGAAAGACATCTTTCGGTTGATTCGCTCGTCGTTCACGGACATGGTAATGGATAGAGTATCGCTGATCGTTGTCATTCCTTGAAGATAGGCTCTGAAGGAAGAAGTAGAGGACAAATTGACACAGCAGTCGTGGAGGCTGTTACAAACTAGTTCCATGACACTGGGGTACGAGAAATGTGCACCATACAATCAAGCATCATGTATATTTGTGCCTCGGTTTTCACTTTTGGTAGCATGCAGTAGTTGGTTGATCTGTAGGTTGATGGGCGCAATGAGCTGTGGCAGTATCCGGTCTGCTAAGGACCAATTACGTGGGCGTTTCATGCTTACACTACCGGAAGTGTCGGATGTATTGAACTGTCTGTTCAAGACTTTGGATTGACTGTTTTGATTTGAAACGTAGCCCCTGGAAGCTCAGCAGTCTCTGCTTGGACAGTGGTCGAAATGCCCAGGTTGGAGAGCGCACCGCGTATGACACCGCACGGGAACCATAGATACTGCCGAATGCCACATAAAATCAGTATGCACTTCATAGGTAATTGGCCGAGAGGGGTCGCGTGACTATACCGCTTGAGCCATGGACACCGATTCACTTCGGACAGATGTGCTCATCCTAGCGAACGGCCGGAATGAATTGTCTGTTAAGACATATACGCCCTGAAGACCTATTATTAGCGCTGCCCATCTCGCGGCAATTCTTTGTGTTCGGTGCCTACCCGATGATTGGTTTTCAGGTTATCGACTTGTTTCTTGAAGAGAATCGTCCAAATGTCTTTGCAAAGAAACTTGATCACATCCAAGTTATCCACAAAACGTGGACGGTCTCGAGCAAAGCTGTTCATCGAGTCAAATCGAATAGACGTGTATTAGCAGACACTCAAAAAAACCACGACTCGCCATGTCCTCCCTGCTCGCCACTTTACGAAGACATTCCTTCAAACGGTAGTATTCATAAAGCGTACCGTTCAGCAAGGCCCTGCCCTACTCTGTAACCAAGAGACTCGAGCCGAAAAAAGGTTGTTTCCCTGATTCCTTCATCATCCGGTATACTCTCATTCGGGGTGAGCTCTCTTGTTAAGCGCTCGGCCATAGGGACGAGCTCAATTAAGAGGAAGTCCAGGCACGAGGCGCCGAGAAGGCGCAAATGCGATTCGGAGGCATGATTGGCAAGGAGGGCGGGCGATTCCACTGACATAGTACCCAGTGGACGGCTTCGTTTAGGGAAAGAAAAGGAAGGGGTGAAAGGAGACAATTCGGAGAAAGAGGTAGGCGAATAAATATTCTCTGAGAGGTGGCTTGAGTATAGAGAGCCGAGAGCGATGGGGTGCCTCCCGCCCGCAAGGAGAGTTTAGACTTTCAAAGAAGTGGTCAATCAGTAATAAGTTAGTTTGTTTAGTAACTAAGCTCAGCTAAATTAACAAGAGACAAGTTACTCAATAGTCCATACAAACACCTTCCCGCTTTTTGTGCCCAAAACACACACATCAGAAAAGGACAACCCTCGCAACCATTTCGCCAACATGCAACTCTTAATGAATCGCATAGATTTTAGTCACGCAAATGTCTTCCTGAAGTCCCAAATATCAAATGTATTTATATGGTGGTGCAAGTACGTCAGTACGTCAATAAATGGTCTAACTGAAACTCATTAATGTACTAAATTCTACAGTACACCTACTCGCCAAGCTTCGACATGAATTATATCGCAGTGCAGCTGATTGTACAGCGCACAATGTTCAAAATGTATTTATGTATTCATTTCACTTTGGGTTTGCTTCCAATCATTTAGAAAGAAAAATTCTTTGCTTTCAAGATGAAGATGTGAGCAATACGTCTGGTCCCAGTCCCACCAATCCTAAGTACGTTAATGATAGCCAGTTTCCGAATTCCGAAAGCGCCGTGACACCGTGCTTGGATGCTTCAATAAGTCGATGATTGAAAGTCGCCTGCCTGGTCTGGAAATCCAGGGCTGAGCCGGGCAGATAAGGTAAGGTTCGTTTCCCCTGCGAAATCACTAGTGTACGAGTCGTGATATTCTGGGCGAAGTGAACTCCTTCCCATTTCACCCAGCGCAGGCCGTTTGGTCGGTCTGACAGGTAGATCATCGCCATCATCGTCATCGTCGCTGCCAGTAAGGTCAATCACCTGGGCTGCAGGACGCTTGTTCATAGACGATGGAACTGCAGACGAGGTTGCAGAGGGCTCGCGTGACTTGAGTGGAGTCTGCTGCAAGGACAAATTAACAGCAGAGAAACTCTCTTGTTTGATGGGTGAAATCTCCGGTTCCTTGATCTCTATCAGATCATCATCTTCTGTTGTTGATGTAGCTTTCCCGGCTTTCTCAATGTCCTCGAGATTAGGATGAGACCATTTCCCATCTGGCTCAATGATCACCTGTTCAATGTCCGACGGGGTCAGATGGAGGATATCATCCACATACCTGATAGACACTTATTTAGTTCTCTTTTCATGTATTCACCGCGCACAAATTGATTAGTGTTTGCACTTACTGGTCTATTTGCAATGACTCGAAACTAGTCGCTTTGGAACATACAGGACACAACCACTGCGGGGCTTGTTCTTGTAGTTGTAAGAATGATGATGCATCGAAGCACTGATTATGGGTGCAGATTATAGAGCGGCAGGGAACCGCGATCCTAGTATGCGACAAAGGGCACTTGAGTGACATAACACTTGAAGTGGCGACAATTTCAGTATCCTCTGCCTTGCTCCTCACTAAGATTGCTTAGCTTAGATCTCTCGAGTAAATTTATAAGTGCACAAGAATGCATACTTTCTCGCAGGACTTGTTCTTTTGGGATAGTTTTTCTTCTCTTGAGCTCGGTAACAAGTTCGTCAACTGGGTGTCTCTGAACAAGGTTGACCAAAACAAAGAATCTCTACCAACAAATCAGCAAATTAAGGTGATTGAGTCTGAACCATGGCCAAACATTGACACAAAATGGTACGACCCGTGACTGAATGCTTACTTTCTGGGTGAGGGCAAAGGTCAAGACAACAGTGTTTTGATACCCTGCTTTCTTGCGAACATAATTGGTAATGTCCGCCGGTCTTGTTGTACCAGGCTTGTTCTTTAGACCTCGCAGGTTCGCTTTGACTTCGTCGAGATTTGTCTTGAGTTCAACTTGATGAGGAAATGCTATATCCGACTTGGTATATTGATTGAGACCCGTGTCTGCCGCACAAAACACCATCACCCGAAGGTTTGGATCAGCCTGCAGTTTGGATGCCATACTAGGCGTAAAAGCAACTTTCAGCTCCACGCTGTCCCGAGTGTGCTCGCGTACTTGGTGATATCTAAGGTCACTGACAGCCCTTTGCAAGGAATGACGAACTTACCTTTGCATTCCGCCGTCGGAGTCAGTTGGTCTAGAACCGTATAGAAAGGACTGTCTTTAAAGGTCAAGCGGCCTATTCAGTAATGGCGGGTTACTCAAGCTCTTCAAATTCTAAAGGGTCGAAGCATCAAGCTTCAAATACCTGGGGTGATAGCATGCGACGGCACTGCCATGCTCAAAGGTGATGGTCTATGCTGCGTGGGCAGAGACTGACTAACTAAAGGCTGCTGATATTGCTGGTTGGACGATGGCTGAGGCATTGTAGGCGATGGTATCGACCGGTGTGCTGTATGATATATGAACTTCCTCATGCTATCATACTTCTCGATATGACCTCCTTCTCTGAGTCTATCAATATCTGGTATTTCTCAAGAAGGGTTAACAAGGTTCCGAACAAAGCGTTCATTTCATGAAAAGCTCGAGATCAAGCAATGGTTACAGGCACGGGGATACCACTAACAATCTAGGATCCGGATCTGCAACGACGCCTTCACTCCAGAAACCGCAAGCCCCTCATTCCTCAAGATGTCCTTCAACTGCGCATTTGTCAGGGTTTTCACCAAAGCGACCGTGCTCTGGAGGTCGTAGAATGGACTAGTAGATGCCATGTTGAGTTTCAGCCAAGCTTCTTCAAAATTGTGGTATATGCATTCGAATGCCGTCTCAGGAAGAGGTATAATTGGATATGATTGCGGGATCCTGAGCAACACTGTTCAAAGACATCGCAATACTTGGCTCGAGTGGGACCAAATGTTTTCTAAAAGAAGGGTTCGGTGATCAGCAGAGTAAGCATTGGGAGCACTGTAGGCGATATGCGTCGAATTCTTGAGCACTCATTTGTATCTCCAGAACTGGTAATGGCGGATTGCGGAGTTGTGAAGAGCCTCCGAGCGACGTGATGACATAAGATCGGCCGCCGCCTTGGTTTTAACCCTTTTGAGTAATGGATATGGGAGGGAATGGAAGAAAAAAGTTTCCCCCGAGGCGATAAGATAGAGAAGACCTCAACAAACCAGAACTACGAAAATTTCGCAACACCCTATCTCTCGGCGATTATACTCTTCTTCTCTTGGCTTACCTCTTTCTTTTGTATATCAAAGATTTCTCCCTTTCAGCATGGCCAAGAGTGGTCGAGCCAGTGTCATCAAGCGCAACAGAGCCAATCTGCGAGCTATTGTCTTCGGGCCTGCTGTTGATGCCAGAACCGAGAGACTCTCAGCAAAGCTGCAGGAGCTCGCTGCTCAGCCAAAACCAAATGAGGGCAACTCCAAAATGGAAATGGATTCAACAAGATCTGGTATGTCCCCTCATGACAACAATAATTTCACCGAATCTTATTCGCGGCAGTGATTGACAGAACTATAGATGGACAGGCTACTGATCTAAATGCGAGAATAGCAGATTCTAATGAAGGTATAATTTTCTTCTTTGCCGCTTCTGTGAACCTATATTCTTGTCCTAACACTCACAAACCTATCATGGATGCAGATATGGACGTCGACCATAAACCACGTGATACTCACGGTCGCTCGAAGAAGTCAGGACGCATCCAGAAGAATAAGAAAAACCGCTCATCCATCGTTTTTCGTCCCCATCCTTCGAAGGCTAAGAGAATGTCCAAGAAGAAATAAAGGACCTTGCATTGCGCATTACTACAATGCTCTATATCCTGGAGTTCTGGAGTTAAGATGTATCTGGCTTAATCCCACAAGTCATCTTGTCAATTACCCTTGCAGGCATGTCACGTTGAAGGACAGCTGCAAATCAAGTACGATAGATTGATGCAAACACATCAGCACACAGTACATATTTCGCCTAGGCCTCTCTAATAACGAATATGTATTAAATTGGGAGCCTTCAGGTTCCCATACAGTAATGTAGCAGTATCTTCCAGAGCCTTTTGAAGTCTCACCAGCAAGGAATTTATGGAGCCTATTTCACTATGGTCTGCGAAGAGCATTTCAATCTGGGTGGATCCCAAAGGCGGTCAGTCGGGCCCAGTAGTATACATACGCATCAGCTAATGAAGCACACCCCCCCCGGTCTTCTTCCGCGAGGAATGACATGGAGGCTACTTAGTCACAAACATCGCGGCACCTTTTCTTCAGTTAGATCTAAATCGAGACGCAACAGGTCCTGTGCCTGGCTCAACTATTGCCCGGCCCCGGTGCGTCTGGATTTGCCATTGGAGTGAGGATGGCTGCTGTGTCAGGACTTTCGGCGATACTGATCGCCAATGTACTGATACCCCTAGCTATCGCAATCTTCTCGTCCGGATTTTTCCCATATAAGCCACTGGTTTCAGGGCTCGCAAAATGCGAAGATCTCGAGCAATATGCTAAGCCCCCCTTTGACAAGGTTATCTTCATGGTGGTCGATGCTTTGCGAAGGTATGGTTATTCAAATCATTCCTAGATGCCAAGCTGAGCCACGATGTAGTGATTTTGTTTATTCGAACGCATCAGGATTTACATTCACACAGAGGTCAGCAGTAGTGTCTCATTTGTCTTGTGTGGAGTTAAGGTCTAAAACACAGATAAACAGTCTCATTCGGTCAGGGGCTGCGCTTCCATTCACTGCCCACGCCAGTTCTCCCACTGTCACCATGCCCCGTCTCAAAGCTATGACTACAGGGTCTACTCCGTCATTTCTAGACGTTATATTTAACATCGCGGAGTCAGATACATCAACAACACTAGCATTTCAAGATACTTGGCTTGCCCAACTGAGGGCAAGAGGTGACCGCCTCGTGATGTATGGTGATGACACCTGGCTCAAGCTATTTCCTGGCATGTTTGACCGTTCAGATGGCACTACTAGCTTCTATGTCTCAGTAAGTAGACAATCGACCATTTTTCTGGCGTGTCTTCGATACCAAGTTTAAACCCCCACTGCAGGATTTCACTGAGGTTGACCATAATGTGACTCGGCATGTACCCAGTGAGCTCCTTCAAGACGACTGGTCTGCCTTCATAATGCATTTCCTGGGCCTCGACCATATTGGGCATAAATTGGGCCCTCGGAGGTATTTCTTATCGTCTCCGCTTGCTTGTTTGATGTCTAATTTCTGTTTAGTTCACATATGCTCAGAAAGCAGCGTGAAATGGACTCGGTGATAGGCGAGTTATATGCTAGCATCGATCGGGAAGGACACCTTCAATCAACCCTCTTGGTACTGTGTGGTGATCACGGAATGAACGATGCCGGTAATCATGGTGGCTCATCTTCTGGTGAGACGTCACCGGCACTTCTATTCATATCGCCATTGTTCAAGACTATGGGAGGGCCGCGCCATCAAGCTCCGATAGACATTCCCGATGACTTTCAATGCTACAAAACCGTCGACCAAACAGATATTGTTCCGACCCTGGCAGGGCTTCTTGGTTTCCCCATCCCGTCAAACAATCTGGGCATGTTCATTCCGGACCTTCTGGGTGTGTGGCATTCATGTGAGTAGGAGGCTATCTGCGCTCTACATGTGTGTATCGACAGCTTACAGAGAACCTGTGTCCAGATTCTCAAAGGACCAAAGTTTTGCTCGCGAACGCCAAGCAATTGCTGAGGAGGTTGGAACATTTGTTTCCAGATCACAAGATCACAGTCGATCAACTCCCGGGCAGATGTACTACTGAGTTGCTAACCAGCATGCACGAAGCCCAATGTGCTTGGCTTCAAGTGATGACTCTTATCGACAACTCCATCAGTACTGAGGACCAAGACGAGCTTGAGCCTGCTCTCAACCGATTTTTATCATCAGCTCAAGAAGTATTAATAAATGCTGCTAGTGATTACAACCTCCGACAACTTCTCCTAGGCATTGGTGCTATGGCTCTCGCCGTCTTGCTGCTTCTTCCGGATGCTTACAAGCAGCTGTCCATATCGATGCATTCTGGGGCATTCTTTGCTGGTCTCATTGTGTGTTACGGTGGTATGATGTTTGCAAGCAGCTATGTTGAGGAAGAACATCAATTCTGGAATTGGATTTTTTCAGCATGGATATTCCTTCTACATGTGAAAGTTGCTTCGCGGAGGTCTTGCGCTTCTTCCGAGCAACTACCCATCAGCAATGGTTCATTCTCAAGCTCGATGCTTGCCCATTATGCTACGTTGGGATTATTCGCAACTCACCGTATTCTTAGGCGCTGGAACCAAACAGGTCAGAAATTCGCGGCCGAGCCAGACATTGCACACGGGTTTCTTCCCACTCACTTATACATTCTCTGGCTGTTGGTGATTGTCACATATGCAGATATATGTGTTCACCTCTCTAACGGTTATCACTCATCCAAGCCGTGGCGTCTTATTTGCATTGCTGTGACAGCAACAGCTTTCCTTTTCAAGCTCGGATCTGTGGTCTCGGATTTCCCTGAGCTACTTGGGACCACTCACATAGGAACCATAAAAAAGGCCTTTAACAATGTCCCGCTTATTCTCCTTTCACGAATTGTCTTCGTAGGGTTGCTCCTTCTTATCCTGGTCACATTATACAGCAGGAAGAATCCTTGTAAAAAGGGACCAGTCAAGTCAGGTATATTTATAGCCATTGCCCTACTTACTTGGATAATTTACTAACGCAAGCTAGGAATGCACACCCGCGTTATGCACGAAGCCCTCACTCTCTTATTGATCACACAGTCTCGGACCACGAATATTCCACTGTTCTTAATTTTCAGGTTGCAAGCAGTTACATTTGCTTCGATGAACCTCTCTGGCATTGAATTGACGATCACATCCCTCCTGATGCAATACATGACTTTCTTCGCATTTGGTGGTTCGAATGCCATTTCTTCCGTCGACCTTTCCAATGCTTACAATGGTATTGACCATTACAGCGTTTTCTTGGTGGGTCTGCTGACTTTTGTTGGCAATTGGGCTGGGCCAATATGGTGGGCCTCGGCTGCTCGACGCCTGCGGTATAAACAAACCTGGGAGGGGAAAGAGGCCCATATGACTACTCTCACTTTCCATATAGCAACATCATCGCTATGTGTCATGATTGCTTGTGCGACATTGAGGGCGCATCTTTTCATTTGGACAGTCTTCTCCCCTAAATATCTTTATATGATGGCATGGGCTGTCATGGGCCATCTCGGTGTCAATTTACTTGGGGAATTTTCATAATATGCATGGAATAGGCGCGGGTTACGAAGAATGCGGTGCCACCGGGTGTCTCACTGACGGAGACAAATTGAAGACTTTTTAGTTGATGATTCTGGAAGGTACTTCGACAATGTGCACATCCAGCTCACCTACAGCAAAGAGTCGAACAAATCGTCGATGGCATCCTTTCTCCTATTCTTCTTTTTCTTCTTCTGGATCCGCTCCTCCATCTTCGTCTCTTCGCAGCGTCCTGAACCCCTTGGCAGGCTACCTGTACTTTTACGGTACGCGATGCGACCCAGATCATCCAGGTCACAATGGTCTGGCGGCAATGGTGTGACTGCCTTGTGTCTGGCCCGTGAAACGACTATCCCTACATCTTCCTCTTTGGTGGTTTCGCTGCTGCTGCCGAGAGCAGAGGTGCCCACCGTCGTAGCAGGGATTTTGAGCTCCTTCTGGATTCCAATCGCCTTAGCAAGGCGGGCCAGCGTGGCTAAAAGCACTGTCCCAAGTGTGGAGAATTGCCCGTCGGCCACAACCGTTGAGAATACGCTTTATAAGGGGATCAGCGCATCTTTCCATATGTGTAGACCCTTGGGTTGTTCTGGACTTCGACTCACAGGTAACATCTAGGAATAATGGTGTGCGCCAGGGGTTTTATGTACTTTGGGGCCGTAGATTGACATGCGATGTGTGACGGCCGATGCCCAATAGACATGACGAGCTTCCGGGTTGTTCGCTTCAGGATCGCCAGCCACTTCCACCACTTAGTATTGCCATGCTGGTTCTTGTTGCGGTGATATATGAGGTGAAGAATCGAATGTATGGCAAACAATTTCTCCAGGTCCATCTCCTGCGGCTCGCTGCGCGGTTTGGGGAATATACGCCACGTTGATGTGATGGCAGCGAGGCCTGGCTGGGAGCAGGTGGATTGCTCAAATTGAAAAGACAGAGCACTTCTAAAGAATATTGAGACTACACAGTACTCTGCCACGTGAATGGTTCTGTGTGCAGCACTAGTCGGCGCAATAGACGTTTCTCCTGGGTTGAAGTAACTTTGACCTAAAGGCGGAACCTCGCTATTTAGTTCAAGTCTGCCACATCTGACACCGCCTTCCCTCAAGTACCGCCTAACAGGTGAGAACAATCAGCACGTGTTGCTGCGTATTTCTTTTGGTAACAGGAGTTTCTATCATTTTACAAAATGTGCAAGGCGCAAGCCAAGGAATTTGAATAGCTCTCTATAACAGTCAGGTAGATACGGCTTTCAAATCTGGGCCATATAAGATGTGCATAGCTAGTGTTCGAAAATCAGCTAGTATCATCGGCAGATCAACTCAATTAACTTTGACAAATATAACGTAATCGGACACCGAGCCGGCGGCCGCCGTGCTGCGTCTTGTATTCTTCATATTTTAAAATTAAAAAACTCGCCTAACCCGCTATATATTATAATATATTATAATTTTTTTGGTATTTTCTTCTATAGCTGATATATAGAAATATTTAAATCTTATTATTAATATTTTTAAGAGTAGAAAGTTCTTTATAAAAACCGTCTGCGCCGCTGTATTTGATATTGAAATAAATATTTATAAAAATTATTTAAATAGTATTAAATTATATACTGAAAAAAATACTAATTATAAAAAGCTGTTTATAATTAAAGAAAATATATTAAAATAGTAGTTTTCTATATAGTCTACTATAGACTATTTTTTAAAATCTACAATACTTAATTTTTTATTTAATTATTATATTAAGTAAAGTTAAAGCTAAATAAATAAAATATTATATTAAAGTATTAGATTACTTATTTTATTAATAATTATCTGGAATTTATATTTAAATTTATATTAAAGTATAATTATAAATATATTAAATATAAGAATTCTTATCTTATTTAAAAATAGTTTAATCTTATTTATAATATAGTTTAAAAATATAATATTTTTAATAAAGACATATAAAATATAGATAAGACTGGATTTCAGATAGAAGTTGCTTTAACTACTTATATAATTTATAGTTTAAAAATATAAAAATTATATATTAAATATATATAATTAGAAAACTATAAATAGATTATTTTAATTATTATAATTTTAATTTTAAAAATAGTACTGCCACTGCAGATTATTTTTATAATATAAAATTATTAATTAATATAATATAAAGTCTGTTTAAGATTTTATTATCTAAATATAAATAAAAATAAATAAACTATGGATAAACTTAATTTTAATTAATTTTAGAATATTTTTAATTAATATACAGTTTTAAAAACTATTTGTAAGTATTATATATTCAATTTTTAATAGCTATAATAATTATATAATTAATAGTTTAATTAATTTTATATAGTATAAAAAATTATTTTTTTATTCATACCAGTTTATTTATTATATAAACTGCAGCTGCTTAATATTTTGTATTTGTCAAGATGCAGACTGGGTCGATGGGCACTGGCTGGCTGGAGTAGTAGGAATAATAAAACTAATCTAAAAATCTTTTTAATAATAATTTTTTTAATTCTAACTAACTATTTAGTTAGATTATTTTTAAATTTATAAATAAATTATAGCTCAAAAAGCTATAATAAAATTTAAAACAGATAAAAAATTAAGAAAATTATATATTTTATATAAAGCAGTTAGAAAGAATAATAGAAATATTAGAATATTTAAAATATATAAAATAATTTAAATAAGCTAAATAAATTAAATAAATCGAATATTTTAAATCTGTACTATAATAATATATTTTTTTAAAACCGAACTTTATTAAAATATAAATTATAATTTATTAAAATATTAGTAGTAGAAATTTTTAATTATTTAATAAATATTTTTAAAATATTATACTGATTCGGCTGTAGAATCTGAATAATTTATTTATTTTATAATATATATTAAATAAAAATAAGTACAGTTTCTACAGTTTTATATAAAATTAAAAATATTTTTAATTAGCTTATTTTATATATTAGATTTAAATAATATTAACTATATAGCCAGTTAGTAGCCTCAGACTTACCAGTCTGCTACTTCAGGCTCTCCAATTTACTGCCTCAGATTAGCCAGTTCACGGAGTGAATTTCCGAGTTCCGGTAATCTTTTAATATAAAAAAATAGTTTAGAATAATCTTCTTTTATTTATCTTATTATTTTTATTTAATAAAAATTTATTTATTTATTTATTTTTATATATTTTTTATATAATTACAGAAAGTCTTAGAAAATCAATATAGCTATTCAGCTATAAATAAAAGATTAATTTTTATTATTCTTTTAATTAGTTAAGTAAGCAGTTTTAGTTCAGTTTTAGTCTAATTTATTTAATTTAATTAATATAATTAGCTGCTTATTTAAGAAATTAATTTTATTTATTTTTTATTTTATTTTTATTTTATTTTTATTTTATTTATATTTTTACTTTACTTCTTACTTAAATTTTGTATAGAATTCTATATAAAGTTTAAATAGAAAGTAAGATTTTATTAAAATAAAAATAAAGATATTCAGAATTCTTTTTAGTTATAAATCCAATTATGCCCTTGTTTTGATTATTTATTAATATCTGAACTTTCTTTATTTATTTATTTATTTATTTCTTTCTTTCTTTATTTATTTATTTATTTATTTATTTATTTATTTATTTATTTATTTATTTATTTATTTATTTATTTATTTATTTATTTATTTATTTATTTATTTATTTATTTATTTATTTATTTATTTATTTATTTATTTATTTATTTATTTATTTATTTATTTATTTATCTATTTAT